TAAATTGGAATAATCAATCACAGAAGAGAGGGGGAATGTGATACCTGGAGTATGCTGGCTGGGAAGATGATTGGTGGAAGAAAGCTGCTGAAGCAGGTTGCAATGGTAGGATTGGAGGTGAGCAGGAGGTTTGGATTGGCGGTTTGATTTTCTGACTGGTGGAGGAGGTGGGGGTGGAGATGGTGAAGGAGATGGGGAAGGGGATGAAGGGGAAGAGGCCTCAGTGTCTGTGCCAAAATGTATGTCATTAAGGAATGGTTCAGGGGCTGCAGGAGCAGGATGAGGTGTGTATGTGGGAGTAAAGTCATCAAATGTGGCAGGATGGTATGAATGGCTAGGTGAAGGTTCAGTGGGGGGGAATCTGGTGGGTTATGGAATGAAAAGTGATCTTCATGAAATTGGATGTCTCTAGAGGTGAAAACTTCATGGGTGAGTAGATCATAAACTTTGTATCCCTTAATACCAGTTGTGAATCCAATAAAAACTCCTTTTCTAGCTCTGGAATCAAATTTCTTTCTGTGATTGTGAAGGGTACTAGCAAAACATAAACAACCAAACACTCTTAGTTCTGTGAAATCAGGAGGTTTATGAAATAGTTTTTCATAGGGGGTTTGGTTCCCCAGAACAATTGTAGGAACCCTGTTAATAAGGTAGACAGCATGTTTGATGCAATCTCCCCAAAAACCAGCTGGGAGATTGGCCTGGAATTTCAAGGCTCGAGCCACAGCAAGAATATGCTGGTGTTTTCTTTCCACCTTGCTATTCTGCTGTGGTGTTTCAACACAGGAAAGTTCATGGATTATTCCTGTTTGGTTAAAATAATCATTCATCTGAAATTCTAGGCCTTGGTCACTCCTGATTCTCCTGACAGAGGTTTGAAATTGTCTTTCAACATAGGAACAGAAGTGTTTGAGTTTAGTTCTGGTTTCAGATTTAGCAGAAAGAAGAATAACCCAAGTCATTCTGGTAAAATCATCCACAATTGTCAAAAAATACTTGAAACCATCATAGCTAGGAGTAGAGTTTGGACCCCAGAGATCAACATGTATCAGGTCAAAAGGAGAATTGCAAACAGTGTTGCTACAAGGGAAAGGTAATCTCTTTTGTCTAGCAAAATGACAGGTATCACAGGGTTTGGATGCATCTGTTTCTATGGATGTACAAAGTTTCTTCAAGTGAGGGATCTTGGAATGGGAGACATGGCCTAGCCTGAAATGCCATAGGTCAAAAGTTTGTGCACTAGAGGCAACAAAATGTTTAGGTTTACTATCTATGTAGGGGCTGTCAAATAGGTAAAGGCCATGGTTGAGCTTAGCAGAACCAATCATCTTTCTCAACTGCATATCCTGTATGAGACAGACATTGGAAAAGAAGGTTAAGCATAGGGCTGAGTTGGTGGTCAATTTGCTCACAGAGATGAGATTAAAGTTGAATTCAGGTACAAACAAGGCATTTTCAAGAGTCAGGTCAGCTACACATGTCACTGTTCCAGTATGTGTAGCCTGAACATGATCTCCTGTTGGAAGAGTTATAGGGATGTTTGAAACCTGTCTAGGATTCACAAGGTAGTTGAGAGAACAAACAATGTGATCCGAGGCACCAGTGTCAAGGATCCAAGCATGTCTAGGTGATTGGTTTTGAGCACTTAGTATAAAAGTACCTGGATTCTGTTGGATCCATGTTGCACCTGAGAATGATGTAGAAGGGTTCTGCTGTGGTTTACCACCTGTGTCCTTGTCTCTCATTAGGCTCATCAGTTTCTCATAATCAGCTCTGCTGATTTTGATCTCCTCTTGATCAGGAGCAGCTGAGGTGGCATTGACAGATGCCTTGCCCTTATATCCACTAGCTCTTGGTGGATATCCATTCTTCTGGAAGCACTTGTCTTCAGTGTGACCTTGCTTCTTGCAATAAGTGCATTGGACTGGATTGCCTGTGGAGCTCCCTGATCTGGTATTGCTCATCCCAGGTGGCCATCCATGCTTGTGATAAAATGTATCTTCTGTGTGTCCCGAGAACTTGCAGTAGGTACAGAATGGCCTTGGCCTCCTGCCTTGATAGTTGCTGTTTCCTTGAGCAGCAAAAGCCATTCCCTCAGTGGCTAGATTCTTCACTGGTTGAGTTCCAGATAGTTGTCTTTCATGCTGTAACATTCTTTGAAAAACTCGATCTATTGATGGTAAAGCTTCACCAAATAGAACTTGTGACCTTACTCCAGAAAAATTATCATTCAGGCCTCTCAAAAACTGAATCACATAGTTTGTATCCCTGTATGTTTGGACCAGCAACATGGCTCTACAGGTGGTGTGGCTGGTTGTGGTGCAAACACAGGGTTCCAGTGGTTGATAATTATCTAGCTCATCTCTTAGGGCTATCAGATTTCCATAGTACTCAGTAACAGACTGATTACCTTGCTTGAGGTTGCAGATGGACTCAATCAGCTCTGCAATCCTCACCATGTCTCCTTGTCCATATCTGTCTCTGAGACTTCTCCATGCTTCAACTGCTGTTTTGCAGGACATGATGGCCTTCCTTATCCCAGGATCTACTGCCTGCTGGATCCAGGAAAGAACCATTATGTTGTTTCTGTTCCAGGCCCAGGCATTGGGAGTTCCTTGACCTGGATCTGGGATGGAGCCATCCACAAACCCGAGTTTGTTTTTTGCACCCAGAGCATTGTGAACAGCTTTACTCCAATCATTGTAGTTTGTTGGTGTTAGCTTCTCTGCAACAAGCTGAAGTCCTGGCTGCTCCGAACCATGAAGGTAGAATGGATCAGCCATTGGATCTACAGCTGCTGGTATTGCTTCTGCATCTTGGTTTGCCATGGTTGCTGCTGGCGGCTGCTAGGGTTTAGCAACCAGGCTCTGATACCATAACAACCTTTTAGGGTTGAGGATCAGAAGCCTTAGTTCATTTCATTGGAATCACAGCTTATATAGCTGGATGGTTCACTTACAGACAGATTGGAACAAGAGGACAAAGCTTGGGTTCTAAGAAAGTACAACTCGGAAATGGAAAGAAGTGGAAATAACAAGTTTAGGTAGCTGTTGGTAATTTGCCAGAAACGACATCACTCCATCTTCTTGGCTGTGGTCTTGGCGAAACGCTGTCGTTCGATTTAATGGGACTGAGTCTCGACGCAACGGCATCGTTTGGATTAGTCGCAGCTGGTCTTGGCACAACGACGATGTTTGGCGCAACGGTCGTCTCCTCCAATTGATCTGGGTTTGAAATTGGGGAAAAACTTACTGTTTTCCCTGATACGTTCAATCCAAGCTTTGTCGGTGACCTAATCCACCGCTGACGTCGGGGGTTCTTTCCTTCTTCCCACTCTCAGAAGATTGCACTAAAATCTAATCCCTCGTCACGGTCGAAATAATTCATAAAATCATTGCGGTGAGCTCGTTCGCGGACCCAACTAGTACTTCTACCATCGGTTTGAGCTAATCGTCGCCATTATAAAACTCTGGGAGAATCACTCTCCAAGCTTCACTCCATCGCTGCACAGCCTGCACATCCGCAATTTGACTGGTGGTGGTGGAAGTTCAGCTCGAATCATATTGAGATTCTTTCTGATATTGGTGGGGCCAGAATCTTCAACGAAGAATTAGGTGGCGGTGCAGGTTTACATAGTAAAGCTTAAAGTGAAAGTCGCCGGAATCTTAATTGCGAGGGAAGAAATTGGTGCGGTAAAGTCCTCTACAATAAAGGGATGGTGGCATGGGCAGGTTTGTCTAAACCATTTCCATCCCTGTTTTCAAATATTCAAGCTCATATCCGCCACATATCTATGCGAGGAATGTTTTGCAAACTCATACTCATACTTGTGGGTTTCGGGTACGGGGTACACATGGGTTATACCCACCTCATACATTCGATATTATTATACCTAAAACTTTACAAGCAAATTTTTAATTATAATACTAACCGAATCTACTATATCATAAAGTCAACAAAAATAGTCATTTTCTTAATACGGTTCAAAGAATATGATCCAAAAACATCCATTATTACATAATATATAGTATAATACTTTTCAAATTATTATGCTCTAACTCTGATACATCTACTAAGTAATAACTAACTAACATAATCTTGTTGACAAGGAGGAAATTGAAAGAGTGAAGGGAGAATTGATGCAAATGAATTAGGTTTTGATTTGGGTGACCACTCAATTGCATTTCTACTATTTATTTTCTCGAGTTACATTCATTATCATTGATAGGTTACAATTTGATCCACATTTTTTTTTTTATATGTGAAGAAATTCTCTTGGTGGGACGAGTATGGGTAAGGGTATGGGACGGGAGAGACTAAAACCATACTCATCAAAAAAATTGCAGGTTTTACCCATACCCAGTTAAATCGGGGATTCCCCACGTTAACTGGGTCGGGGCGATCGGATACCCACGGTCATGTGTTTAATTGCATCCCTATTCCCTAATCTGATGGGGAAGGGAGATAATAAAAGCACAATTTATTTATTAATTAAATTTATTATGAAAATTAGTTATACAAGGGCTGCACAAAAGTCATTTTGTAAGCTTTTAACGGTTATCTAACAGAAATAGGTATGGAAGTCTATAGTTGTTAGTTGTTACATTACAATAATGGAAGGATACTTTTGTGCAAATTATTAGTATATGGGTATATTTGTTAACTTACCTCTTCCTTGAGTCTATGAAAAGTTGATTATATGGACATCACTTTAGATATTTGCAGGCGACAAATGAGCTCACACTAGTGCACAATTCGTCCACCTTCAAATGGGAACAATTCTGGCCACTTTATATACATGAGTTTCTGGCACCAAATGTCAACATAATGAAGGTCAAGGCGGGTATTGGGTAGCATCAATGAGTACATCACCTTCACACAATCATGGATGAAGAATTTAAAGTCGTTCTTGAAGAAGAGAAATTCATGCATTTACCAAGAGTCATTCCGTGGTGAGAGGTAGTTTGCTTATTGCAGTTGCAGGAGTTCGAGAAGACAAACTCGGGCAATCGTTTAATCAATCAATGTGCAGCTTCGCCATTGCAGATCATAAGTAAACCCTAATAGTAATAGACTCCATTGCGCCTTCAACAACCGGATAAGAATCTAAAATACAGAACGACAAGGGACGGCAGAACCAAAGTCGGCATTCATGTACATATTTGTTAAAAGAAAGGCGACAGCCAGGCATAGTAAAATGATACCCACACTACCCAAATTCAACATATATCATAATCAACAACTCATAAGATCAAGGGAAGTAAATCATTCAGCAACCTATCATCGTCAAACAAAGCAATTGCAAATTTATCTTGGTACACTGATGTGCTGATGGCACTCGCATTATCACAACACGTGAGAGCTTATCTAACAAATCACAGGAAGGCATCCTTCTCAAGCAACTTGAGAACCTCCTGCTGGTTGTTAAGCTTTGCAACATCAATGGGATTCTTGCCGTCCATGTTCTGCAACGTTCTGTACCATAAAAATAAAAATAATACAACATCAACCACATCGATCTTGTACAAACCCCAAGACTGTACAGCTTGTTTAGGCATTCCAACTTACACTGCAGCACCATTCTCGAGTAGGAGAGCGACACACTCTTTTCTCCCATACCCAGCTGCATAGTGCAGAGCTGTGTTCTTATTCTTATCCAGTGCATCGACAAGAGCTCCTGCTTCAAGAAGGATTTGAGCACACTTGACCTGGAGAAAAGATTTAAGATCTGCTTAGTAGAAAGAAAAGAGGCATGTCTAACAATCCTAACATTCCAACCAACAAATGCACAATCAAATCACATTACAAACTCTTCTCAATCCCAATTTCAGGAATTGCGGTCTGCAGTGAACCGAGAGAAGATAGAGATCGTTGAGAAGATTAATCAATTACCTCTCCATATCCACAGGCAAAATGCAAAGCTGTTCTTCCCTCGGAGTCCTCTTCATCCTTGTCAGCTCCAGAGGCTAGTGTAGCTTTAAGACCCTAACAGTGGAACAGAGAATCAAATGTAAGCTTCAGCTCAAAGCACTCAGATATATACCGAACACAAGAGAACATTAGGAATACTGGAGAACTCTAGAGGCAGAAACTTTATTTCTATATCACTATCATTTAGTACCACAAGAAATTGTCATCTGTGTTTCTCTTACATAAAAACCATACGAAAACTACAAAAAGTAACTACTACCACCCCGTAGCATTTAGAGCCCATGTGGTTGGGCTAAATACTAGGCTTCCATACTTGCTTCTTACTAACAATAAGTACCAGTGCCACGTACTAAATCGACCATGCATCATAGCCCACAGCAAACCCGTTTTACTGTTTCGGCATGTTCAGTTAATTCAACTCTTAAACAATTATTGTTCAGTTTTCCAAAGCCGAAAAACGTAAAGCATTCACCACATTCACCCTGAGTGCAAGCTTCTCAATTTCAATGAAACAAGTACACATCATAAACATGTGCTAGCGATAACTCTCCAGATATTCACTTCGTCAAGCAGTTGAAACATTGAAGAAAGACCAAATATGTTGTAACTGACTAACTGCCTACCTCAACATCCCCGACGCTGGCACATTGATGAACAATAGATTCATCATCATTTCCACCTTCATCTGCTTCCTCTAGGCCAGAGTTTTGTGCTGAGGTGGCTGCTTCTGGAGGAACCGCTAGCCCCATGGCTTCACCCAACTTCTTCAGAACATCTTTGTCATTCCAATATCTGTGGAAATAAGTTTCCCAATCATTGAGTAAGATGCAGGGTAGGATCAACTCCACCTCCATTTAACTACCGAGGCAGACAGAGAAGGATGATAAGAGTCATCCTTTGTAGGATGTTAAGAAATGAAGAGGATGTCTCAGGTTTTGGTGTTTTAATCCCAACCTCATCATGGCAGCAGGACCTCCACTCTCAATCTCCTCCAAAATAGGCTTCAAAGAAGGGTCTTCCTTTATGCGTGCCATTCTTTCCTCCATTTGATCTTTTTGCACTGGATTTGTCAAATGCTCAAGCATATGGGACATTGATGGATCCTATATAAAAAAAGAAACGTGAACTTCAACCTCCAACCACCATTAATTTAATAGAATCAAATGAAGCAAAATAATTTCAAAACCCCAGCCACTCTTTAATTATACCTGCATTAATGCATTTCCAAGGCGTTCAGCCATGGCCATAAATTGAGGGTTCTGCATAACCTGCTGCATGGTAGAGTAATATTGCTGTGTATCAAACTGAGGCACAGTCTCTTCAACAGCTGCACCTTGGAATGTTTTCTGCAGCTGTTCTGCCATCTGATTAAATGAAGGGTCTTTTGCTATCTGATCCGCTAGTTCCTTAATGCTCGGATCCTACACATACCACAAGTTTATTTAAGAAGTCATTGAGGCAGAAAATGAGAGGAAAGATCAGAAAAGAGATCTGATAATGAAAGAAGGGGAACCCCACTTTCATGAATCAACTAACTAGGCATGAAACCTATTCATGAATCACAATGGTCAGTGTGACAAAAGAACCATACCATCACTACAGACAGTTAACTGATCAAAGACAAATCATAATGACAAAGGCAATGGCTCCAAAGCTCAACAAAGATGTCACACATATTGTGAATAGGTTCAGCATCTTCTCCAAAAACCATAGCTACACGGAAACATCACACATACAGTATAGGGTTTCGATATGTTTTTAAGTAATTCTGTTGGTGTAGCCTCTTGAGCTGGAGATTACAACAATAGCTTCACAAAGCATTTAATAGTAATAGCATCAACTTTTTTATTGTACTGAAGAGAACACAACAACCACAACTATGATATTTTTTATTTGCAGTAGTGAAAGTACTCATATCATGTTTTTCCCAATTAGTACCCAAAAGGCATTAGCCTAATAGTAAGCTACATCTAGTGCACTACTGATCCAAAGGAAACAAAACCCTTTACTTCATACCAAGCCTGCTCTCCAAAACCTTTAGTCAAATGCTATGAGGCAGCACAAATTTACATTGACCACCCCTTAATCATATGCATCAGGGCTCACAAAAATCCTTTCCACATGCATTCAAGAAGAGATTCTCAAATTGATTAACAAAAACATTGTCTCTCCTCCCGCACACACACGGACAGGAGTTGCAGTTTAGATAATAATCGCAGAACAAAGAACAGAAGCTGAGGCATGACAACATTAAACAATTTAAGTAGGGAAGTATACATTAAGCAGGCCGGACATTGCTGAGAAATCAAAAGGATTTGGAGCAAAAGCTGCTCCTGGTGTAGCAGAAGCTCCTCCCTGCCCTGACTCTGATGCTGCAGAAGCTGCTTCAGGTTTAGTAGTTTTCTCTCTCGAACCTACGTTTATTCAAATTGTAACAGGTAAAAGAAATATGAGAACTATCACCAAAGCCATTAAGTCCAGAGCCCAGATGGCAGTATCAACCAGAAACTTTGATCGTAGTTATATACCACATCCACACCATAAAGGGACATAAAGCTCAGCAGAAACAAGAGCAGGATTCGGTGGAATGGTTAGCATTGGTTATTACATAGACTACTTCTATGGTTGGCCGCAAACAAATTGACAGCACTCAATGCATCTGGCGAATTATAGATAATGTTGAAATGAGCAGAAGAGAAGAGTTTGGATTGCCTATCAATGGCACTACTCAGGGCATCTGGAACGGACCATTGCATTTCAAGTGCAAGAGAAGAGTTGTAAGATATTTCCGCAGGGAGATTTTTGTTGGAGATTCACTGTGCTCTATGTCAACATGTAAACTTGTACATATCCAGAAAGGTATTCGGGGCTTTCAGGAGATAAGGGCCCGTGGCCATGGATGAATGAAGAAAAGGAATTATGCAGAGGGGTTGGATCATCATCTCAATAACCATTGAAAGCAATAGGAAGTTTCCCTGACTTAGAAAACAAAACCCACTTTTAGAACCATCCCCAAAAATGGAGAAGAGAAGCCAAGTAGATGAGGAATATACCAGATGGGGGAAGATCCTTGTTGGAATCGTTGGAAGCCATGACGAACAGCTGAAAACGATTCAACAAGAAAACCCAATAGCGCTAGGTTATAATCAGACAATCGGAAAGGAATCAATACATGTGATGGAAATTGGAAACGGTAAACGGCGGAAAGTAAAAAAAGGATCAATCTAAATTGAGCTCCGAGAACAAGAGAATCGCTTACTCAGTTCAAGTAGTAGGTCGGAGATGAAGAAGGGAAGAATAGAAGTGATGATTGGGGCGAGGAGCAAGGGAATCTGAGAGCAGAGAACTCCACCGCGAGCCAAAAGGAGACGAACCCAAGGGTTTTAACCACGCAGAGCAGCACTGTGGGTGTGGGGGTGGATGGATGAGATTGTTGGTTTAGAAGGAGGAGAAGATAGATCGCTGGAAAGAAACCGACACCGTGGCCAAGGACTGAAAGTGGGCCCCGCTCATATCCTCATCTTTCCCCACAAACGAATGGCTCCAGCAGCAGCGTCGCCTCGCCCGTCTCGTTTTTGCCTGTTTGTAGCAAAAGGTCCTCGCTTGAAAGTGAAACCTATAAGTTGTCAAATGGTTAATAGCATTTTTACTCTTTTATTGTGTTAAATTAACCAACGTATTCTTTTATTAAATTTTTGCACAAGCATATATTTTATTATGTAAATATTGATATATGGATGACCAAAAGAAGAGTTCTCACATTATTCATCAACCAACACACAACATGCATCGACGACTAACCAATCACAGTTACTCATGCATGAAGATCACATCATAGGAATGAACGATTGAGCAACCTAGGTCCTCACCGGGATAAAAGAAATGAACAAAACATGATGAAGAATTGCTCACTCTCGACCAGTGGGGTCAGGACCATTTGATACAAAATATGTGCATATTCACGCTCAATCATAACGTCCCTTTACCATGACGATAGCCTCTAAATGTTAGAGCTCATAAGATGGGTGTCGTTGCTAGCTTGTCCGAAGGTCTTGGACACAGGTTCAAATGACTAGCTAGGGTCTAGGACATGGGGAAAAGGCTTTTTGGGTGGTGGCAAACATTGCACAAGGTTCCACATTTCCATCCTAAAACCACAAAAGGTTCTAAGGTTTCGATTAGAACCCTCTCCTATACTCAATGGCCACTAGCATCGCCAAAAACCACACTTCCCTCGATTCCAAACCACAACCAATCACCAAACCATTCGCAGCAATCTTTCTTGCTACCTTTGCTATTCAATTTCAAACACAAGAGTGTGGTAGGCAAATAACATGTAAGTGTTCCTAAATCTTGCATGCTAAGTAACACTTCTAAGAGCATGTTCAACGTTTATTATATTTTTTCTGGCCATTCTCTTTTCTTCTTTGCCCTCTTATTGATCTCTTTTTTATTTTATTTTTCTTTTCTTATCTTTTCTTTGGGGGCTAAAGAGAGCTATAAACATGCCACATTTTTTAACTTAAGGAACAATGCTCACTTAGAAAAACTACATCCACACTCACTTCACCTCTTAGCAAAACCATACACAAATCACTCATGTGGAACCTCGTTTAAGCTCAAATGGTATGAATGGAGCTTCCAAACACAAGGGTGACTCGATAACGGTGTAGACACGAAGAAAGTAGGGTCGTTCTATCTAAATCAATCAAGCTCAAGTAGCGAGAGCTACCTAAAATGAGAGAGACCCTAAGACACACGGCTCAAAAGGGTTGACTAGGGGATAATGTGATCGGGAGGGTCAACATTTGGGTCGTGGACTAAACCTATGCCTCCATCTTCCTCGCTAGCAACAACGTGAATGCTACACATCATGTAAAGGGGGAACTATCGCACAAGAACGAAACGAATGACACTAGTCTCACATGGCTACCTAGGTGCCCAATCATTTGTTCTAAGTCCCTAAACTCGATGCATAGACAACTCTGAAAAGCAAGTAACTGATTCAAAACATCTATCGGTTCACAAACACATGAGAAATGAACCTAGGCACAAACCTAATACATGTCTCAGTCATCATCATAGGTTGCACACAATCACAAGCAAATCATCCATAGACCATGCTAATAACCACGAGATTCAAAACAATAAATCACCACAAGATACCACTATGATCATGCAAATGTAGAAGTTGTTATGCATGGAGCCCTCAAATTTTAAAAATTTGGGCATACATCTAGGCTCCAAAGCATTCAAAATCACACCAATCATTCACACCAACATGCATAATGGACTACCCCCCACACTTAAGCTCGACATTGCCCTCAATAGCGTAAAAGAAGGGGATAGAACGATGTTACCGGTCAAGTTGTGAATGTTTGTGCTCGGGAGTGGAGGGCGGTTGAGCTCCAGAAGAGCGTGTTCACGTCCAAAACACCACCAAAATATCTTCAATGGTCTTCTTATTGGAGCGGAAAGCAAACAAATCGATGGTAGATGGATTGCCTCCCACCAAGCGCTTCTTTAACGTCGTGAGTCGGACGATTGCTCCTCAAGTTTCGGTCCACCCAAGAAACTCCTTGAAGTTGAGGTTCTTTTCGGTGAGGTGAAATCTCAAGTCACGAGCATTGGACGAATCCATGATTGAGGGCTCGTGAACTTGATCGACTTTGAGGCTCCACCCACGAGACCTCTCCTTCTTTCTCTTTGCCCCACACCATGTAGTGCATCATCGATTTACCACCATCGCATCCATCAAGAGGGATCGCCGATGGTTTGGCCTTGGCTTGGCAAAGAGCCGCCAACGGGTCCTTCTCCAAAAGCTCATCAAAGTCGGGTGGAAAGCTTTCATAGCCCTCGTAACTTGTGGATGCTTCATCCACCTCGACCTTGTCCTCATCTTGGAATCCACTTGCACCTTCTTCTTCATCTTCAACCTCCCTTCCTTCTTCGGAATTTGATTCCTACCAATGGGAACACCCAAGATCTTCCTCCTCGTCAATGCTCACTTCCTCCTCTTCAACCACTTCTTTCTCCTTCCCATTCATGTCTTCAAGCACGAATTTGAGGGCAAAATGCAATACAAGGTCATAGAAGGGATTCTCTTGCTCCTCCACAATCGTGCATTGGTCTTCAGTGTTGCTCTCGGGAAGGGAATGCTGATAGGAGTTGTCAATGCAACCTTCTTGTTCATCCTCACCACGGGAGCTCTACGGAATGAGTTCTTCTTGCTCCATACGGTTGTCATTGATTGATCCTTCAACATCCTCTTTCTCCTCCAATAATGAGAGGCGATAGCTTTCACAAGCTCGTGCCATTTTCTCCTCTAGTGTCAAACCGGGAGGAGGGAGGGGTTGGAAATCCATGCCGGAGCTCGTTCTTCCAAAATCATCATGGCTTGCCTCTTCGACTTCCTCTCTTCTTCTAACGGTAGGAGGCGATTGTGAGTAAGTTGTGCACATGCTTTCTCAATAAGCTCTCTTCGTCTCTTCGTGCGTCGAAGGAGCTCCTCCAATTCCCGAAGAAAGGTTGAGTCGATAGGGTCGGTGATGGGAAGGTCCAAGTTGGAGCATCCCTCGTCGGTACCCCCGGGCAAATTTCTCCACCATGAGCTCCCAGTTTCTCTTTGGCTCCGGTTGTGGAGTGGCACATGGTCTTGATGATTGTCCCATGAAGGCCTCCACCGGCAACTCCAACTTGGATTTCTCCTCGGGTTGTGGAGGGAAACCTTCTTGATATGGGGAAACATCTTCATACCCCCAATGGTATAGTTGTTCTTCTTGGAAGGGGGGTTGGTAATAGAACCCGGATCCTTGGCTTCCCCCTTCTTGTTCACTCCATGAAGCTCCGAGGTACCCCCATACGGGTGGTTGTGGATACCCCCACCTAATGTAGAAGCCATTGGGATCCATGATTCATAACCTACACAAACTAAAACACAAAAACAAAATCAAACAAACACAAACCACCCTTCTAAGAGAAGAGTGGGTAAACAAAACACAAAACACAAACAAAGAGGCAAGATTTAAAATGCTAGAGTAACACTAAGCGACCTTTTCTGGATAACGGACCGTAAGGTCCCCGACAACGACACCAAAAACTTGACTTGCACGAAACTACACAACAAATTAATCCCGACTAGAGCCCAAGTTTTTAAACTCTAGTCGGGTGAAGTATAGAGAAAGTATTTAAATTGCCAACCCGGGTCGGTCCGTGTACCCCTACTTTAATCGCTTAAGTTTTTATCTAACAAAACGATTTTGGGTTTTCAAACTAAGAAAACTACAAACTAAACAAGCAATAAAGGCAAATTCTAACTAAGGGAGCTTCACCCAGGAGTTGCTTCCCCCTAACTAGCTACCATGACTCGTTGGATTGAATAGAGTCATGTGGCATAGGTGGTTGTGAACCGGGGGGGGGGGGGGGGAGAAACTAGTGATCAATCTGTCACGGAATCAATTCACTACCGATCGATTTGTCACGGGATCGATCCACTCACCAAGTCTAGGGGAACCGCTAGGAGGAGCAACTAATGATCCATTTGTCACGGGATGGATTAGCTAGAGATCGATTTGTCACGGGATCGATCCTCTCACTTAGTCTCTAGTGGTTTCCTAAGTCTCTCCCTCAAACCGGAGTTTGAGCGGCTTAATCACAACCAACCTAGATGCAAACTGGTAACCGCGGACCGCAGAGGGATGAAAATATGGTCGTAGACCACAATCTCGATTGCTAAACCGAGGTAAACATTATAGGCCGTGTCACATGACCCTCTCAGTTTAGGCAATCGGTGGTGACTTACTCCCTCACTCAACTCAAGGGTTGGACGGCTTAATCACGCTTAACCAATTTGCTTAATTCAACATCGAGGTCTGCCCTAAATTAACCTAGTTAGGTGACTTAAAAAGCTAAAGGAAAACCAACTCGATTGAGTCTCCCTTGAAAGGGGGGATTTTCCTCTCTAACTAGGTTAAAATGGCTAATTAGATTGCCCAACACCAACATGCACAAACCTAAGGACGCTAAGCGCAATTATGCACAATCCTTAGGTTGTTGCTAAGCACCAAAATGCACAAACCTAAGGATGCTAAGCACAAAACATGCACAACCCTTAGATTGCTAAGCACAAACATGCACAATCGACCTGAATAATACCTCAATCATTGAATTAAACAATACCCAATGACAATCATTCAATCTAAACAAGTAATTACAAAGTATTAGTTAGGGATCTACAACACCCAAGAGAAAAGAGTGAGTTTCTAGAGAGAGAGAGAGAGAGGGATTACGAATTTGAGCTCAAGATCTTCTTCTTCTTCTTCTAGGCTTGAATCTCCACCCAAGCCTCCAATGATGCTCCAAAATCACACTAGCACTCTCTCTCTCTCTCTCTCTAGAACTCCCCTTTGGTGTTTTAGGTTGAAACCCTAGAGAAAGAAAGTGTTTCTTCTCCCAAAAAGCAGCTCCCCTTTCTCCCCCCGCTGTTGTCTTCATATTTGCCCGAAAGCGATCAC